GATTCAAGATTATAAAACACTTATTAGACATCACTTCCAACCATTCATAGGAAGAAATCCTGAGCAATGAAGATGTCCATCTATGAACACTTGTTCAGATGTATCTTCATTTCAATGGGCAATAAAATACTCAGCAGGTGTTTGTTCTTTTGTTATTCCTTTGTATTTTTGTATTTCTCCCAGTCTTTCACTTAACTCTGGGCCCTCCTGATTTCCAGTTTCCTCATGAGGGTGCTTTATTAAAGGGATTGAGATGAAGTATTTAAACTTAAATTGCCCCTACATAGTTGGTGTTACCATGACAAGTTTATTTCAGGTTTTTAATGAGAGCCCTGAAATACAGAGGCTGTCCAGCAATACTTCAGTGTTCCCAGAGCAACCTGGGCACTCCTCAAAATTACTGGTTCTGTGAGCCTTCAACCATTCAATGCATTTGAGCCGAGTTTTAGATAATTAGCTGAAAATTGTGGACAGATTGGTGGCTCAGCAATGGAAATGAGTGCCTGTGCAGTTGTAGATTGAGCATAAAAGCATTTGAAATCTTGATCAATTCCTTTGGATATTTTGAATAAGATCCCACTCAAAGATCAGTGTCTCTGCTAATAAAACTTTCCAAGTCTCCATGTCAATATTTTCATGTCACTTAACTGTTTCCCTTCTCATCTTCAGGTACAAAAACATTGGGAAAAAATATTTAAGATTACCTGAAGTAGTATCAAAGTAGTTGCACATGACTACTGAGAGTTACCTGCTCAGTTAGGGACTTTCCTGATCATTATCTTGAAATAATTCAGTGGCTGATTCAACTCCCACTTCTGTTGCTCTGTGAGAGGGCAAGAATTAATGACTCCTGCTGATCACCTGGTAACGAATGCCTTGCTATATAGATGGCATGTAATCATATGATTTGACTACTGAACCAGGAAGGGCTTTGGGTTTTTTTGTCCAGGTGATATGACCCAGGTAATTATATGTATAAGGGCAATTATATTTTATTTAGTTGTTGACTTGGCAAGGGAGAATCTGTCGACAGGCAATGGTGCACAATGCAGGCAGATGTGTATACATTGTAAGCTTTGAATTTAGGGCAGGGAAAAGAAAACTGAACTAAAACATTCACATGTCACAGCATGTGCACCAGAACAAACCAAACTGTCACTTCACATGGGTCAAAGGTGGCTGTAGGAATAAGCAGATATCCAGGGCAGAGGATTAACTGGAGTCAGGCTAGAGATAGAAAGGGGAGAAAATGACCCAGATAAATACAGGAAGGATTTAGAGAACAAGTGTTGCACTCACTAGTGACCACAGCTTTTCCAGCATTTTTAAATACTAGAAACAAAATTATTTGTCTGAGCTGAGCATTTGCAAACCAGGAGAACTGCCAGGGGAATGATGGAAAAGCACCTCTGGGAGCCAATAATTTTCAGTCTCACCCAGAATCTCTGCAGGGCTGCTTTTAATGCTTTACTGAACAAAAAGATGGGAGCTGAGAACTGGCCAGTGCAGGGGGAAGGTCATCATCAAGGCTGACAGGAATCTTGAACAGAAAAAGCAGTGTGATAGATTATTCAAGTTTTCTCCTGGAAGGAAAGGCATTCTCTTAACTAACCTTTAAACTCGTCTGCATAAACCAGTGACACAGAATGAGGGAGCTGCCTCCAGCACTTCCAAACTCAATAATTACCTTTTCACTCAGGCAAAGTTGAGTGACCAGTGATCTCCTGAGACAGAGTAAAGCACACACGTTCTCCAGGTTGTTTGTGAGTGTCCATGTAACAGAAAAATACAGTCCCTTCTGTATTTTAAAATACCTTTTCCTAGGTATTAGAGAGGTGCATACAGCACACAGGTCATGATGAAGACGTCAGGAGCTGTAATTCTTCTGCAGCTCTGCAAAGGCAAGGTAACCAGCCCACTGCAAAGGCCAAAGTATTTCCTTAGAGAATGCAAAGCTACATGGCTCAGTAGGCCACCACAAAGATGGAAAGCTCCATAAACACCTCAGCTCTGAAATGCCTCTCACTCTAACAGGGGGTGGACTCAAACTCAAGGTTCCCATGGCCCTCATCTCCTTGGCAGCCCCAGCAGGCACTTTTTCCTTGGTTCCTCAGGGTCCTTCTCTAGAAGGGATTTAGCAGGAGAGATACACCTGGACAAATGCCTGCCCAGTGTAAAGTCAGCTTTGCTGCTTCTGCAAACCAGGTACTTCTGGAAAACTCAGATCCTTTTTTGAAAAATGTTTTGTTCTGTTGTGAAATGAGAAGGACCCATCAGGCTGTATCTGTTGACCATATAGAAGCATTTTCTGTGTTTTTCCAAAATATCAGATGCCATTTAAGAGCTCAGCAGCCTGAAGGCAAGGATAGGAAAAGCCCCTGAATGGCCAAGAAAACATCCTGAAGTGACTTTTTTTTCACCCGAGCTAAGACAGACATAAGCAGCACAAAGCCCTAGTTAGACCTTGTAGTTTTGCTGCTATGTAAACATCAGACAAGGAAGACCATTGTCACTCTCTATATAAGCATTTGAGAATTCAAAACTGTAAGTTTTGCTTTTGACTACAAAACATATCTAAGCTCTGTGAAAAGCAGGCAAAGCAGACCCAAGACAGTAAATGTAATGCTAGATGAAATACCTGTCTGGTTAATTGTTTGGAATCAAAGCTGATTAGCCAAATCATTAGTATCTGACACACAGATAAACAGGTAAGTAGAACAAACTGTTTTGTGCAATACAGAAGTCAGCCCGAGTATCTTCCTTTGCAAGCTGTCAAGTGTAAACTTACAGTGCCAAAAAAAAATTAGTTCCTTGTAAATCACATATGAAAGGCTCTTGATGGAAGGCATCTGCATATTCTGGAAACTTTTAGCCTCACAGATGTACATTGGACTTTAATGCATTCCTATGAGGTTTACATATGTAGATGACAAAATGAGAAATGTTCCCTCTTCCCCTTCCCTGTAAGTTTCAGTGCGGATGGGGAAAATCCTTAGTTTTGTACAGCAATGACATTGGCTGATTGTTGCTGAGCAGCTTTTTAATCATGTTGTTCAAGCTCTTTTAACACTACACAGAAAGTCTTTGTTAGGAGGACATGCACAGCTTACAAGTATAAATCATTATTTGGCTAACAACACAAAATATTGTTAGTACTTGGTGCTCAATTCAGATGGCCAGCCCTACAGGACGCTTCAGAAGTCATTGGTGGCCAGGAATGGGCGGATGATCCCTGGGACACAAACCACTGTGTTTCTGGGTTGTTTTCATTTTACAAGTCAGTGGATACAGATCGCTCTGATGACTCTATAAATTACCAGCTCTGGGGTTATTCTTTACATTAGAATTTTATTTTTCAAGATGGTTTTTGAATCCTTCAGCATCTAAAAAACTTGTCTCAACAAGCCTAGTCCTTTTCTTATTTTTCTGCAGATTTTCTTACAATTGCTTCAACCACAGCAACCAAGGGAACAAAAGGGGGTGCAGAAAGACCAGGCCTCTGGAGGTGGGTTGTAGTTTGGATAGAGAGAATACATTTGCTGGAGCAGCAGAGAAAGGGAAATGTATGATCAGTATAACAATATAAAATCACATCTGATTTTTGTGTGGCATCTCACAGCAGCAGAAGCAGTGCAGTCAGGTTTAAAAGGGACTCAAGAGGAGGTAGTGTGATAGACAGTTTTGTGTGGATCACTGTTGCAAAGACCTGTTTCATGTCTGAAGTTTACCTTTCCTGGAGACAAGAACCTGGTTGCAGAGCCCAACTCTCGCCACAGTGCCAAAGCAATCAGGAATCCTTCAGGTGAATAATGTGTCCCTTTCTAAGTTGTGGTATTTCTGGAGCTCCACAATCCAAATATAAGAAGCGGAGATCATGATACAGACAAGGTTCAGGAAGGGAGGAGGGGAGGAAAGACAGAATAAATGTAGCAGACCTCAAGTGGACCTCATTATTTGTGAATAAGGGAGTTTAGGTTTTTCTACCTTATTAGAGACTAAGTACTGCAATAAGGACATGACCAGAGAGGGCATGCATGTCTGGGGATCTCTCTGTATGTTTTAAATGCCTACCAAGCAACTTGCAATTGCAATATCTCCCTGAAACACTGCAGACAAACACGTAAGCTTCCTAGGGCATGGACACACATGGGACAGCTGGGCATACAGTGAGCCAGTTCCCCTGAGCAGCACAGCCTCAGCTCCTGGGACGTGCAGGGCCGTGGTAATGTGTGTGTACCTGTGTGTCTGCTCCACACTGACTCTGCAGCCCTGCTTCTACATCCCCAGGGCACAGCATCCTGCACCTATAGAGTAACTGCAAAAAACCGGGCACCTTGTGACTCCCCAAAAACTTGGGCACCAGCTCTGTGGTGAGAGCATCTTTGTTTCTGTTATGAGAGACTCTTCCCCATGGCCTCTGCATGCAGGAATGAACCTGCAGATTCCTGTTCTATGTGCAGGTGTTGTGTGAGCTCCCTCTCACTCAGCATTTGTGTCCTTTTAGCCAAGTGATAACTTCTGCCCAAGGCCAGCTCTTTCTTTCCTTCAGCCAGAGCTAAGTTACATAGCAATGACACTTGAAAAGGACAGCACTTCCAGCATTATTTCACCATTGCTTTGCAGTGGCAGCAAGTACAACATAAAATCTCTCCAACTATGATATGCAGTGTGGTACTGGAGAACATCTTGTTTTGAGCAAGTAGCTAGAAGGTAAAACTTGGTAAAGAGTTCATCCCCAGAAAAATAAGAGAAATCATCTCTTACTTTCCTTTCTATTGTTGATCAGTTATGATAAACACAGGGAGTCTGTGGTTTAAAGGATAAGAAAAAGAGCCACTATTGTCTGGGCCAAATAGTGGTGCTCCAGTGAGCTCACAATCTACTCCATGGAGTTTGGTTTATGCACCCCAGAACTCTGTATTCTCTAAAAAAAAAAAAAACTCTTCCATCTCTAATCCTTTTTTCCCTGTTTTTTCTCTTCTACCCTCTTTTGTTCAAAGGACGAGAAGAATCAGGTGTTGATCACCAATGCTTGGCTGCAGATGGTGAGTAACCTCTGTCAGTAAAGAAACCCTAATTTGAAAACTACAAAATGAAATTTCTTAGCAGAAAAGCAAGACTGCTATTTTATAGCCTATGTATAATGCAATACAAGGAGACATTTTGAGTCCTTTAAAATTTCCCTAGTGCTCCTTTTAGAATGGAAAATTAAATTCAGGAGACTACACTAATCCTTTGGACAGACCTGTTGACCTTTTGAGCATGGAAACCAACTGCATTGTTTTGCCAGTGGATGTAGTGATCTAATAACAGAGTCCAGAGCTAAGAGACTAAGCTAAGAAGAGTCATAGCTAAGAAGAGAATCTTCAAGGGGCTCAAGGCCCTCTCCAAGGGGCTCAAGGCCTCTCCCCCAGTGATGGGGACTTACGAATGAGCCAAACACCCAGTAAGACAGGCACCTGCAATTGCCACTTCTGGAAAAATCCCATCTCTGCCTGAAATTGGGAGCAAGGGCATCTGTCCCTGAGCACAGAAGTGGTCACTAGACCACATGCAGACTACTCATAGGGGGTGGTGGATACTCCAGGGACCACAGAGGGCCTGATGCTGCTTTGCTGCTGGCAGCACCCTGGGATATTGACTTCCCTCATGCTTTACATAAACATAAATAAACATCCCTCCTCCCTCTTCTGCAACCTGCTCCAGCTGAGGATTCACCTTTATGCTCACACAGAATAAGCAAAACTGACCTTCACTAGGGAAAGGGACCTCCTTTGCAGACAGAATTTCCTATCAGGTCTGCCTGGCTGCCTGTGGTGAGGAATACAGTGGTTTTTTATGCTGCACAAACAGATCTCCTTAAGGGTTTGTGGTCAGGAAAAAAACGGTTCTTGAAGGAAAAAACAGTGGGAGACTTGAATGATTAAACTAATTCCACTTTGATTCTCACATCCAAACACTATCTCATATTAATATGTTTAGCTGAGCAGGCTGTTTCTTCCTCAGCTACCTGCTGGGATTTGCAGCAGAAATGAGCATTTTTATATGGCAAAAACTAACCAGACAAACCTATATGACTACAGGATTGTTAGGTCAGAGCCTGTGGGTGTCCTGTGCCTTGCAGAGATGTTCCACAGGTTCAGATGTTCCACAGAGATGTTCTACTTGTTAAGGTTTCCCTTGCAAGCCTCCCACTGAGCTTCATTGAAAGTCAGAAGGTTCTTCCCAAAAGCTGTTCCTGCACCTTTCTCGAATTAACTGTGTTGAGGTGGAGGAGGAGGGATCAGAAACAACCCCTTGGCATATAAAGTTCATTTGCCTACCTCTCATAGCAAGGTGGTTAATAAAAGAGTCACCCAACCTTTGTAACTGATTAAATTATTTCCACCCAACGGAGAGTCTCAGACCATAGTCCTCAAAAACCACTTCACTTCAAAACCTGCAGACCTCATGGAGGTTTCTACTGCCAGTGGTTCTGACAGCCCACCAGGAAATGTTTGGGATGCCTGACTTCTGGCCACAAGATGAAGAGTTAAACACTGTCTTCGGTAGTCACATTATTATTTCTTCTATATATGCCAGCCTTTCTTAATAATGAAAACCAAGCATTTAACTATTATCATACTGTGGCTATTGCTATTGACAAAATCGATTCTGTTCCATTAATATTAAAAAAACTTTGAGGACTTTTAAAAGCTCATATAATCTGATGTATGTGTTTGTCAACAGTCCTGGGTTGATGTTTACTTGTCTTGGGATCAATATGAATACCCAGGAGTGCAGAACTTGAGATTTCCTGCTGACCAGATTTGGGTACCAGACATTCTTCTGTATAACAGGTAAGCAAGATGTGAAATGGCTGGTAGGAGACTAGAAATATGTGCTGAAAATAAGCCATGCTTCACTGATACTATGGGCCTTTTGCCCTCTATGGATTTGGTCTTACTCTTAAAGAGTAACAAGAACAAGCAAGCATCAGCTAACAGATTTTTCTAATAGCCAGTCTATTCTTCCTTGCTGTAGTTCCACAGATGTCTTCTTTAACTTTTTCTCAGTGAACACAGAGAGAAAGCTATGACAGTCTCTTCAAAATGACCATATCTGCAGGAGAACTACTGTCCTGTATGTGTCATAATGCTTCTGATTGAAGTAAACAAATGGATTTTCATCTCACTTTTGTTATCACATATTTTATAAACCTCTCTGTCATTCTCCTTCTACTCTGAACATTCTCTAATCTGTTTTTCCCTCTACAGAGATGAGTCTAGCTCTCTAGACAGCATTGCTGCAGTGTTGAATGAAGTGGAAACTTTCTAGACAGCTGTTTCCTTAATGCTTTTCAGGACAAGGGGATTTGGGGTTTTCTCTAATAATATCTTAATTCTAGACTTATTTTTTGATCTAATGCAAACCCTAGATGTTGTAATTCAGCTCTGCTATCTTACTAGATTTTCCCTGTTATGTTTTTCTCTGACAGTTTTCAGGGTAATACTTTCTAATTACATAGATTAAATTTCATTTGTCAGTTTCCAGAGTTCACCATGATCTGTATTCCATTCCAAACCCTCACTACAAGATATCCAAAGGAGGCCTGGAGACACCGAGATAGTTTAAGTGTTCTTCTTTACTTCAGCTTTGCCTCTTACTGTCTCTTTATTCCTTTTCAATATCTAAAAAGCAGGCATACAGCTTCGTCCATATTACTATAGTTTATAAAAACATGCTGAAATTCAGATAGATACCAGCCTCCTCTTAGTAAGAAAATTAGATTGATTTGATGCAGTTGGCCCTTCACAAATCTGTGCCAGATGTTTCACCCCATTTTCTTTGAAGTTAGGCTGATGTGTCTATAATTTCACCTTTAAAAGAAGTCAGAATTCTCTTTGATCTCCCCTAATTCACCGTGCCCTTCCCTCTTCTCCACAAGCTCCCACAGATAATTGTTAATGCTTCAGAGGGTATTTCAGTCAGTCCTTTCAGTTCTCAAGAGTAAATTTCATCAGCTCTGCTGAGTAGAATTTGTCTTATCTACATTTTCTTAACCTTTTCATCCCCTGTTCTGCCATGGGCTCCTGCCACTGTGTGAGAATGAGATGCAAAGAGTGAGGCACACGGCGTACAGGATACTGCAGGTCTCTGCACCCTACTGTTTTTTTCCATTCCTTTCCTCTTTTCCTTGTTCCTTTCTACTTATAAAACCTCTTTTTGTTGTCTTTTATGTCTTAGATAATTATCACTCATTATAGACTTAGGCTTTTCAGTGTCATCCCCTTTTTGTGTTGGGGACAATTACTGAGTACTGAGGGCTCAAAACATGGATAAAGAGCAGATCAGAAGAGTAATGGAGGCTCTGAACTTTTTAAATCTGGTTGAAAGACAGGGTATGTAGGATGATGTAGCCATGCAATATAGACCTACACATAGCCACTACAGGAAAGGCTCTACAAGCCAGGGGATTCCTCTGTGGTTAATGTCTTCCTAAGAGACCCTCTAGAACAAGCCCCCAGACCTGCTTCTTTGAAGAACTGTGTCCTCGTCTGGCTCATTACCCCTTTACTTTTCTCAGAATTGTTGTAATAGTAAAGAAATTATCTTTTCTTGGTTCCTTTTGCTATTGGAGTTTCAATGAATCTCCTCCTACAAGCTGCTAAAATAACTTCTCCCCAGTGGTTTCTTCCAATGCTAGAAGCAAACTCTGTCCTCTCTGCATCTTGGGAGACTGCACAATTGTTATGTCAGACCACCATTGCAGCTACAACGCATCTGTTACAACAGATACCTGGGTAAGGTAACAGATGACGTGATTTATGTGGTGAGTTGCCTCATTTTGACAGGTGCCCTAGAAAAACCTCGTTGTCCCAACTGCCCAGTTTTTGGATACAGCTAATGTGACACTTTTGCTTCTTTTCCTTCTGCCTTTTTTCTGAGACATGCAACACTCTGCCTCTCACTTCTTTGAGATCATTGTAGCGTGCAAGCAGCCTGCCCAGGCGCAGGCTGACAGTAACTAGGAGGAACTGAGATATTTATCAAGGGTAGATACTTCATGTGGTAACTTAATTCAGCCAAAATGCTATTTCTATGTTGACAGTTACATCTTTACTCACACATCAGCTTGCTTTTTTCTTTATTTTGCTCTGTTTTGTTTGTACTGTGTTACAGTGCAGATGAAAGATTTGATGCGACATTTCATACAAATGTGCTGGTGAACTACTCTGGATCCTGCCAATATATTCCTCCAGGTAGGGCACAGAGAGTGTTTGTTTACTTTTAATCAAGTAATTTCAAGAAGATTTCCTTCATGAATGAAAGGTGTTTAAAAGCCATCTGTGGAAATTTTGCAACCAGTCTAATAATGGGACAGACCCACTAAGAAAAATTAAGTCCATTATCTTAAGTGTAAGTATTTACACTTTATTAAGTAGTAAAATGTTCTCTTGAGCAGTTTGCTCAGAACATCCACAGTCCCACCTAAGGTGTTGTGCACCATGTCATCATGTTTCATGTGCAGTCCAGCTAGGTCTCTGTTGTGTGGAGAGGTGTGTGAGCAGAGGTGACCCCAAGAGTAGAACTTTCTCAGCATTGAAGCCCTTCTTGCCAGGCTGAGGCTAAAAATCCAGGTGAAAAGACAAACAGGGATTGGTCTCAGCCAGCTGGGCCCTAGTCTCAGTCTCTTTTAAATCTGTGTTGCTGATTCCATGTCTGCATGGTCCAGCATCCAGGACTGACCAGAGAACAGACTATTCCACAGTTGCTCACTGTGGTGGACAAAAAATTCTCAAACTTTGTGTGATAGCATAGCACTGTCCCCAAGCAGGTCCACAGGGCCCAGTGGGGATCAGCAATGACTTCCCTGATGGGTGCTCCTCTGTTGTTCCTTACCCATTAGACCCCTTAAAGCATCCCAGAACATGAATTTAACATTCAGAGTTAAATTCAAGGCTCAGTTACCACACAGATGATAAAGGCCGGCCCTGAACAAGGTTTCAGACAACAATGTGTTTTCAAAGGACTATGGATCTGAGGCATGGCCTGTCTAGGAGCTCCTTTCAAAGAGCTGATCACAGCACAGTAAGTTCCTGGGATGTGCTCTTTGCTGCTGCCAGACCAAGAAATATTGCCTATAATCTGCCAGGGCCAGCTGGCTCTGGAAAACAGGCTGGACTGCTCCTGGATGACCACAGTGTCCCAGGCAACCTACCTCAAGGATGCAGTGAGAGAGATCTTCACTAGTGGAGGAAGGGAGGTTGTTCCACTCATGACAGTACACCTGCAGTACTTGTTTGGCTACCCCATGCCTGTATCAGACAGAATTTTTGCAGAAGAAACTTGCTCACAATCAGAGACTCATAAGGGTAAGATGAAATGCACCCTGCACATACTTGATCATGACTGATTTCTATCTACAGGCATTTTGAAGAGCACATGTTACATTGATGTCCGCTGGTTCCCCTTTGATGTGCAGAAGTGTGATTTGAAGTTTGGCTCCTGGACTCACAGTGGCTGGTTGATAGACCTGCAGATGCTCGAGGCTGATATTTCCAACTACATCTCAAATGGAGAATGGGATTTAGTGGGTAAATTGGCCAACCTACAAATTGTCAATAACCAACCTACATATTTTCAGTAGTCTAATTTTCAAAGACAAACTTCCAATAGGTAGAAATAATCAATCAATTGGACATGGAATACAGATATTAAAAATATAGATCTAAGAAGAAGTAAAAAAAAATAGGAAAAAAAATCCCATATCAGAGACAGCCTTTCAGCAATGTTCATTGAACTGTGTCTGAAAACACTGTTCTGAAGCAAGTGCCTGCCACTGACTACATAAATGAACTACATAAACTATTAGTCCTAACACATCTGAGCATTTTTTCAGTACTAAACTTGGATGTGTCTCATGTAGGTGCATGGAACACTACTATCACATTTACTCTAATACATCAGCAAAATTGATCGGTGTAGAAAGTATTTCAGCAACATTTTAATGTAAATGCATCTTTCTCACCCAGAAAAGAATCAGTCTACCAGTTCATAAAATAAAAAATTAGTATGTCTCTCTTCTATGCTTTGGAAGATACCTGCAGTTTCAAAATAACTTATGTCCAGAACTAGTTATTCAGAAAACTTCTAGTAAGTTATTATGAACTAATTTATATAGCTGTAAGTCACAAGCAGTGTTACAGAAATTGATGCAACTTAGACAACTGCAAAGAGAGGTTACAAAAAATACATTTTATCTTCTGGTCTGGATATACAGACAAGGAAATCAGAACTGGGCCCAGCTGCATGCAGTATTTTTTACCATTCAGGGAACCTGAGAAATTATATTCAGTTTTATGAGAAGCCAGAAGACTCCATAGTGAAGTCTTTCTAAAGTCCAACTATTTCAGAGCAGTCCTCCTTTAAAGTGAGTATTTTTGCCCAATAACTTTGCATATCTGATTAAGAGTTTGTGGTTTATCTGCCTTCAACCCTGACTGGAGAGAACAAAACAGGGACCTATTTAACTCATACAGCAAAAGCATTAAATAGCACCTCAGGCAAGCCATGGCTATATAATTTAAAAAAACTTTGCTGAGCCTCTGCCAAAATGCACACATTGTCATATCATCTATCATGTCCACAGAAACAAAAGAGAAGTGAGGAATTTTGGCATGAAAGGTACAAGGTACTGACTTCTTCCAGCTCTCTTGACATTTCAATGCTCTTGCAGTCCCCATTATGCAGCATGTCAGGCAATCTTCTGTAGTGGGACCATCATGGGCAATCCTGCAGTACATCTGTATTGGACAGCTATGTCTTTTAACTTCAGATGTGACAGACTTTGAGCTTAACTTGGCAACCTTTTTGAAAAGTAAGCCTGTTTGTTCTTTCTGACAAAAAAAAAAAAAAAGAGCAAATATGTATAGAGGATCACAGAAAAGTAAGAAGCAGTGGCACTTGTCACGCAGAAAATCTGCTGCATGTGCTAGTGAATATCATATCAACAGAATGTTGCCATTCACGGAATGTAGAAAGGCAGAATGCACATTGTTGAGGTTGTGATGCCCAGGACTGTTTTGTTCTGCCTCAGATTAGCTTTATTAACTAAGCTAGGTTTAAATGACTCAGAAGGCATGAGAGTAAACACTAGAAAACACAGAGGGTGGACCAAGAATAGCAGAGATGACACACATTTTTCATAAACTTAGTCCAGTCCAGGGAGATAACTGGCAGTCCAGCACCTCTCTCCACTGTTCTGATCACCCTTCTGTAGGTGTCCCAGGGAAGAGGAATGAGATGTACTATGAATGCTGCAAAGAGCCATACCCAGATGTGACGTACACCATCACCATGCGTCGCCGCACCCTCTACTACGGCTTGAACTTACTCATTCCCTGTGTTCTCATATCTGGCTTAGCACTGCTTGTATTCCTTTTGCCAGCTGATTCAGGGGAGAAGATTTCTTTAGGTAAGTGCTAAAATATTCATTTGTTTTATAAGCATCCTACAAAATAGGAAAATAAATACCTCCTGGCACATGGTGCTTGAAGAAGAAAGATTTCAGTAGAAGAGCAATAGAAGTACTTACTTCTTTTGGTTACAGGAACAAGGACAACAGCTTTCTGTATAGCATTTACACATCCTCTGCTACATATATAATATCTTGTGGACTGAGAGGAAGCTGAACTTGTTGCTGGCACAGGCGACAGTGATAATATTCTGTCATGCCTGTTGTTATGTACTTTAGTACATCTCAATGCATTTTACAGCTCATTGACTCTTTTTTCAGATGGAACATACTAGGAAACAAAGAGTGAAGGGCTGTGAAGAGCAGCAGCTTGGCACTGGATTTCCACCTTCAAAATTAGCTCCCAAAACACCTAGCTATGTGTCCCCTGTGAACACAGCCATGGAAGGGCTAAATGAGATTTACTGTTGGTTGTGTGTGTAGATAAAAATGGGAAGGGTCTCCTTCCAAGAGGAGATAGGGAAGAGCTGTAAAAACACCAGATTGAGCCAGATGACATCTTAAGAGTTAATTGTGCATGATTCTGACTCAGGACAGAGACTTCTAAATCATATGAAGCATCCTCAGTGGGGCTTTTGTGGTTAAAAAAAAAAGGTATCTGAGCAGCATGCCTTACAAGAAGCAAAAAATACAGGCTGTCAGGGGTACAATTGCTGTCTATGAAATATAGGATGGGGATACAGAAAAGAGTTATTTGAGCAGAAGTACAATGCTGACATAGAAATAGGAGCTAATGTTCATGCATTGACCTTTCGATTTCTCGGGATCAGGATGGTTAGGTTTAGCAACAGCCTTTCCAGATAGAATAAAGAGCTTATTTTAAAACAGACTGCATGTCTTTGAGGGGTGTTATATAATATGTGATAGAAAAACCTAGGCTGCTGTCTGTGCAAGTCTCTCCTAGCCCTTAACAACCATTTGGGCTTTGTGCAATGTTTTGGAAAAGCACTGTAGTTCACCAGTTTTGCAAGCTTCATTTCACTCAGCAAAAAAGATTTCTCCATTACTTCGAGAGAAGCAACGGTTTGTGTGTATTAGAGAAAAGTGAAAAGAGAGCAGATAGAGTTGCATCTAAAAACATTCGCACTTTTGTGGAAGTTCTAATCTTCATTGACAGACATGAAGTCATGGGTTCAGCTTAGCTGTATATCAGGACAATGCTATATTTAATAGCAAAGACATCAGAGGAGCAGCTGCAGAGTTCATTTTCCTCATTCTTCCCAAATATGTTCACTCCCTCCAGGTATTACTGTCCTTCTTTCCCTGACTGTATTCATGCTGCTTGTGGCTGAGATCATGCCTGCAACTTCTGACTCTGTCCCACTAATAGGTAAGTTGATTTTCACTGCTTTCTGCACCCTGTATGATGCCTCTCTAGAGCAGTTCAAAATCAATTTGAGGACTGATTATGTTACTCAAGTTTTGCATTCAGCAATGTCAGGAATGTCAGCCTGGACTTCACCATGTGCATGTATGAAAAGGACCTACACAAGGTTACAAAAAGGCAATGGAAATATTAGATAAGCAGGTAATTGCAAGGATTGAGAGGACACAGAATCAACACGGCAGAAAATTAATTTTTCTTCTTCTGTATCATACCACCTCCCTGCTATTACACAAATCCTTCCTTCCTTCCCTCTTCTCTCAATCTGAAGAGCAAGTCAGGATACAGCAGATAAAATTCGAGTATATCATTGGAGCGTTTTTGATACGTACTGAAAACTGTGGAACAGATCATCATCTTGGGATTGTGGGCCAGACAGACACTATTACAGCCTCTGTTTTTATAGGACTGCCCCTTTACCTTGGGGCAATCAGAAAATAAATCTGTCCTGTTTTACAAAGTAAGAAAGAATGAGCAATACCTGAAAGACCCTGTGAGTACAAATCATGACTCAAGTACACATTCTAGACAGCAGATATGAAAAAAATAGTCAACAATATATCTAGGTGCTAATGGAAGATGCACCCCACAACTGTATAATGAAAGTCTCAAAAAAGTTATGTAATGGTTAGGACAAAAAAGAAAGCATTTACTCAGACAGCTTCATTGTCTCTTTTCAAGGCTTTAAGACTAGGCCTGACTCTGAGGAAGGAGAATAAGCTTGCAATGGTAAGGACAATGGCACCCATAGGCAAGAGTTTCTGGAAGCCTCCAAAAAACTTACACATCTTAGTGAAAGTCAGTAGGGATCTTGGCTTTGAGCTCTACAGGAGCCTCCAAAAAACTAATAAAATCTCTTTCAGAGCATACACCTGGGACACAATGGACACAGAAACAGTTCTAAGAGAAACTTGTGTGCAGGGAGGAGATACAAGCCACCTTGAGCTACTGTTGACATAACTTTGCTGTGTATAATACATAACAAATCCCATTTAGAATTTGTAAAGGGGTACACTTGCCTAAGGCCAGTCCACTGGCTTTAACCTGATCAGTTTCTACTAGCACAGTCTTCTATCTGTAGGATGTAGGTAGGATTTGTACCAAGAAAAGCTATGATAATTATGTATTTTTATGGAGCTTGATGTTGTAATGACAGACAATTTCTGCTTATCAGAGAATTTCTAAAGTTGCTGTAAATGATATCCACTACACTCTCATTCTCTGCAAATATTTGAATTTGTTATTGAAGGCAATCATGTTGTTCAGACATGATTTATTCACATTAAACATTGGATGGCTGTTCCCATTCCCCACTCTCTTCCTCAACTGTCCAGAAATGTTCCCTGAGGACTTGCTGCCTGATTTACCCAGGGACAGAATCAGAATGACAAATCTCTTGTTCTCTGGATTGTTCTTTTGAGAAGTGGATGCAACATCTCTCTCCATCTCCTATAGGGTCTTGCAATGACCCTGTAGGATTCTCCATTATCCCATGGATTTGGGCAGGTTCAGATCTCATAATCAGTCCATGAGTCCTTCCTTAACTATTGCTGCTCGTGTTCCTCATCCTTAAACCATCTCTAAACACAGATTTGTCAGAGACCTTGATGATGCAAACTGAGGCAAAGGATACACTGTCTTGACCTTATCACTGTTCACTGTCACTAAATCATCCCTTCCTTTCAGCAGCAAGTCTGTGTTTGCCTTGTTTAGCTGTTTGCATAGTGTTTGTGTAGTGATAGAAACGCTTCCTGTTGCCTTTTATTCCCACACCAGCCTCAATTAATGAGTTTTAACATTTCTGACACCAACCATAATGATCAGATAATGCTCCCAAATTTTAATTTCATAGCCTGTCTCTGCTTCCCAGAACCCCATCACTTCTGCACTGACTACTCAATACCATTTAACCCTTGCCTGCTACTTCTGCATTTACATTTGGGTTGTTATTTCCCTTCCACAATATTTCTAGTTTAAAACCTTGTCCCTATCTTCTTGCTCCACTCCAAATTTTCAGGGAGACTGCTTATCCATTTGGTTTATGCACCCAAACCAAAACAGCCCTTTTTCAGTAAGTGCTCAAAGCTGGTCTGTGCCATTTTACATTATCTTGAGTTCTGAAAACCTTATCCTTACTCTAACAAAGTGACATAGCATCTTTTCCTCACAGTGATCTTACAGGTAATTCCGCAGAGGATATTTTAGCTGCTGAATTGAATATGCCAGGACATGATCACAGTTTTTCAGTGTGATCTCTAGTTCAGTTAAAATCCTCAGAATTAATATGAGGAAAAGGAGTACATTTGGAAAGCTCATTCTAGTTTTGAAGAATAAGCATGGTTAGCAGCAGATCTCAGGAATAAACAAATCTTCTAAGCATGTGATTTGTGAAGGATGCAGATAATTTGATCTTGAAGTAGAAAGATTCCTTGCTGATCTGCTGAAGAGTCACTGTTACTGGTCTTCATGCATGTGGATGCAGAGACACTTTGAAAATGTGACTCCAAATTCTTTGAAAATCTGCATTATATTTTTAGGGCCTGAATTTTTAGAGATAAACATGCATCCATACCTTTCTGGATCTGCCTGCACTCTCACAGCCTTTGCTATTTCAAAGTCACTAATGTCTAACATGCTGTACTTTCTTCTCCTTCTGACCTCAGCTTTAACTACTGAACTCTAATAATATGGAAAAATATCACAGGTGCTGTTGGAGTATTTTTATTGAGGTAGCAAAGGAGAACTGGTCTAATATGACACCAAGAAAAGTATTAGCTTTTGTGATCTGGAATATATGAGGAAATCATAAGTTAGTACCTCTTAGTTAAGGGGAACCTCAAATTATGTTAATAACAAACAAAGCACCTATCAGATTAAATAATCAGAAGGATACAAGTGGGACCTTTTTTTGTACCTTTGCAAAGTGAGCCACCCCTTCCTTTGTACGTGCATTGCATTCTCTGTCTTTTTATAAAGCCACCCAAAGCAGAGACACTCTTAATCCACACATCCAACTTCCCCAGATGAGAAATTCCCATTTCTCAGCAGCCTACCAACTATCATGTTAATATATGTTAAAAAAGGTCGACTTTTTCTGTAAAGAGCAAGTGACAAAAGTGACAAGACTTGGCCTAGGGATCAGTAGCTGGCTGCTCAGTACCTTAGAGCACCAGGACCCTGCTGCTCCTGCTGCAGGGTAGAGCTTTCATATGTTCCAGCTGGACAGGCTGGCCACCTGCTCTCACTCAGCTTTCTTAGGGTTTGCATCCACATCAGTAGCTCCTTGCCCAGCGGCGTGTCAGCTTCCATCCTTCTCTAGCACATCCTCCCTTTCAGGGGAAATATTTCTTTTCAAAGCCCAGTTTTCAACAGCACACATCCATGCAAGGAAAGGCACCACAATATTTCAAAAGTTGAATCCTGACCTTCCACAGAGATACCAATGAAAGGAGAAGGCTGAACCAGGGAACGATGTCTGTGTCTCTGTTTGAAACATTAATCACTCAGCAGAGCAAAAAACTCAACCATTTAAATCAAAAGAGTTGAAGGCCCATGACATCTACAAACACAACTGTTTGGCTAGAATCCAGCACATGTCAACTTCGTGAACAACAATTCTTTCTCTGTAGGGTACTGGAAGTCCCTCCTGGCACTTAAAACCTCTAGAGTGTAGCTCCTGAAAGACTTTCAGATCATGGCTATACAGCAGCAACTGTGTCCTAAACTAACCCTTCCTACTGTAGCTTAATCATGCCTTGTGGGAAGTGTGTCTTGCTGCACTCGTGATTTTACTTACTTTTAATTTTTCTCTTCAAAGTTACTTTTACCAAGAGTCCAGTTCATTACGTGAAACTATGTACAGAAATGCAGAGAACTCCAGTTGTGCTACACAACTAAATTACTGGTCTGACTGTGCTAATCACTGGGTAAAATCATAAAGCCTGTGTGATACAGCTCAGGTATAAGATGATTGTTTTTTCTCATTCTAAAAACCTATATCATTATGCAGATTTGTTTTGCACTATAAATGCCAGTAATTTCATGTGGATTTTGTGCACCTTCCAGTCCCTATTATTAAACTTATCCAGTGCATTACATAGGAAGACATAACCATATCCCAGTGTGTTGATTTCCTGGTTCAGCAAATAAATCAAAATTAAACAAATATTATTATTAACAAATCCTGTTATTTTAATTAGAGCCTTTGTACAAGATCAGGTTCTGCCTTTTGAAATTAAAGAACTAGTAATTAATCTGAAAACTACATTAGAGGTATTTAGCTCTACACTGTAAGGACTATTTTTTTCATAAAGACATTGGTGATCCATGTTAGGTGAATGGTTGAAACCAATTATATTAGAGGTGTTTTCAAACCTAAATGATTCTATTATTCTAGGTAAATAATAGTGGACAAGGATCTGGTTTGGTAATGATTATATGGCCAATTCTCAGGAAAAGATGGGTTCTTTCCTTAGGCAATAGATATATGCCTGTATTCCTTTAAGTCTTCATATCCCTGATCTGTTTCATAAAACTGTGTTTTCTATCCTAAATCAACATTATCATTAAGACTAGGAAATTATGCCTTAAAAAGTCACCAAGGAAAAAATTCCTCAAAGTCAATACAGATTCCTAACTACCTTTCATTACTATCCCTTGGCTGGAGCCTCCTTAAAATTACACAATTGGTGGTCATGAGGTCCCACATCCAGTGGTACCAAATAAAGCAGTGACCAGAATCAAATTAATTATGCACTGATGTAGCAAAGTCTTCAATAATGCCTCAGGATAAGTTGCTAGTTTGAGCTCATAGACTTAAAAAAAAATTAATCTCCTGATGTAATACTTAGTTCCTACCAAAATCAGCCAGTTTTTCAGAAAAACAGATCAATCCACAGCCCACGTTAAGTCAGACATTGTCAAAAGCCATTTCTCTGAAAAATTTA